TTTAAGAGCAGTGACTACGTGGCTGCCCCTTAAGAATACCAGCAATGAGTCAATCAATACCCCTGGAAGACAGATACAAGCCATTCACACAGTGCAGACACCCTCACCATTATATGTATAAAGAGAGGCATCAGTTTGCACAATTGCACATACAGCTTTTTTTCCCCCCAAGAACACTAACATGAGTGTAGTTGCATATTGTTATCTCACTTTTACAAATATACCTCTAAAGAGACCCCCAAATTACCTTTTCTTCCATTTGTTTGGGAATCAAAACAGAATATAGAAAACACTCTCCTACTTTGGCAATTAATAAGACTAACTATATTAAAAAGTGTAATTTCTACAGTTATATTTATTACTTAATTTCATGATCAAATAAAATATATTACTTAAATGTTGTATAGTTAAACACCTTTCAGCTGTCCACCGTATAACTTTTCTTGGCCCACGCTTTCATATCCGACCAAGAAAAAAATATTTGTAGTCAGTTAAAGGGACAATGTTAGGAGAAATACCTTTGTCTTTTTGCTGACTTTTAAATTGTGACACAATCACTTTGAAGATACAAGCCAGTCACTCAGCTGGCTGACAGAAACAAGCGTTTCCTGTCCTTTGTTTTCTCATTCCATTTCTTGCATTTTCAATAAATAAAGGTATTCATGCTTTTTCCTGTTTTGCTTTCACGGCTGAGTACCAAAACAACGCAAAGGATCCCCATCAAAGGAGGCGGCAGCAGGGGCATTTTGTTTAGTCAAGGTCACGACTCCTCTTAGGTTTTGTAAAAGCGTAATTCACCACCTCAGCTTTGGGCCCCTCTCAATGTGACAGTATCCCTTTAAACAAAAGGAACGTTTACTTATTCCATATGAATCATTAAAATGACTTGCATGGAAACATTTACATAATTCATCTTTCGGCCAGTTACATTACACTTCATGCAGTATCACAGAAATAAGAGACTGGTATAAAAGCCATCTGAAGATGCAGTGTCACAGTGAGATAGTGCAGCGTGTCTCAGGACACAGCAGCTCCAACCTGCAGGTCCTCGCTCAACTCATTTACATAAAAAGAAAAAAAGAGAAAGAAACCTCAAGCAGTATGCTTTTAGAACAGGAGACTATGGCATAGGTTTCAGCATGGCAAATATGGCCACAGTTTGTGAAGTTTTTACTACCTAGGAAGAACAAAAGAAGGAGCTTCTTACTGCCCAAGCAGAGGTAACTCTGACTTCCGAGAGGTTTCTCAAAAGCACAGTCCCAACAGATACCAGCTTTTACGAAACAATACGAGTGGATAGTTCTGTGCCAGTGTATGATTCTGAGAGACTATGCTAAAGTACTTTCAATTTTCTTTTTTTTTTTTTTTTAAAAGAGTAGCAATTTTTTTTCCCCCCATAGGGAACCTCTATGTATTTTATTTCTGTTGTGAGCTGCATGTATACAATGCATCTATGGCAATAAAAAACTCCATACTGACAACCTAATAACTTTCAATAACAAATCATTCCTTAAGAGATGAGTAGTTTAGGCTGCTAAATAATTCTGCCATGAGAAAGCAAGTCTGAGGATCCTGAGAGTACATCTTTGCTGCTAGTTGGTAACCAAATGAAGAAATAGTGCATTTCACTGAAGACAAACCTGGTCAGAATTTAGCTGTGCTGCTGCCTCGATACCAGAGGTGAATGCTATAAAAGAACCAGTAAAAAAATCTTGTAAATCACACACTTATATTTAATATATTGAAACAAAATAGTTAAGAATGCAAGAACTGTTTACAGATTAAAAAAATATTTTTTAAACCATCTGATCTTAAAAATAGACAATAGTAGTGAGGCTTAAAATACAACCACTCGCATTAAAATGTTTCAAGCAATACCGCCTTAGCATGTGTCCTGTTCCGTCAAATGGCCATTAAGATAACGCATCAGTTGTTAAAAAGGTTGCGTTGGTCGGAGTCACTTTTTCACAATCCAAATCTACAACAGTTTTTCCTTTAATGGAAGATCCCGAGCAATCCTGGTGCAAACTTTCCCTCCTCTCTGCGAGTTTAGAAGTGGAGCGCGCCATCGAGCCACTTTGGCTTCCATTGGTTTGAGAGCAGACGTTATTAACTTTCGTAGTTTTATTTTTGTGGTGGTTGTTGTAGACTTTATATTTCATGAGGAGAATGAAGATGAAAACAAGAACTGAAGCCACAATGATTCCACCAATAATGATGATCATGGTTCCTCCAAGAAACTGTGCATGAAGGGATCGGCACTGCTTGTATTCTTCCTGGGTTGTGAACTGCACACATCCGATCACTCTGGTTGCGGTCAAAGATGTCAATCCATCATCGTAAACAGCAAGAACACAAAGGTCGTACTCACGTCCTGCAACCAGATCAGTCAAGAAGAAGGATTTACTAGCAGCTGGGATCATCCTGGAAGAGAAAATGAGTACAGTGAACATTCACATTTATTGAGCCTAAGGAAAACTCTTTAACTATCAATGACCTCTGTAAGGAAACTAACAGACCGGTACGCTAGCGTGGCAAACAGAAGCGGCAGCAAAAACCTAGCATCCCCAAGGTTACGTAGATGAGTAGAAGGTGCAGATTTTAGCAGTGAAAATCTCTTTACCTTGGCCACTTCACACAAATATGGGCCAGAGGGCACAAGTTTACAACGGCCAAAGAGAAGTCAGACTAGATCTAGAGCCACTGTTTTGATCGTTATCTTAAACTTCTACGGTTCTGGCATAAAAGGGGCATAACACACCCCATGCAGGCTAGAAGACAGTCAACCTCTGAAAAGCCATAAAGGAACTGAAGCAATATATTTAAGGACTTAAAAGGCAGAAAAGGATGAAATGCAATGCTACATTAATTAAAATGTATTTTAGTAATTTTACATCCACAGAAAGCATGTTTTGAAGATAAAGGAGAAAAAGCAAGAATCAAACCTTTGGTCCACAGATTAACCTTATTTCCATCTTCTGACAGCTCCGTGATGCTCAATGTCTCGTAATCAGGCGACCGGTAAGAACAATCAGAGCAAAGCAACTGCACTTGCACCTAAGCAATAGCTTTTGTAGCCAAATAACAGCACATACTGACTTGGTGCAACCCTAACTTTAGGATTGCCCTATGTAAATTCCAAATATAAATTTCCTTTCCCACAATGTAGCATCCGTTCTAAATAAACGGATGAAAAGGATCCCAAGAGAAGAGCTATATGCTATGTCACAGAATTCCCACAGACCGTAGTAATGCCCATACAAATAAAAATATCTCATTGCAGATCAGCTCCTTATAAGCTATGATTCTAAATTCAGGTCAGATTCCTCCCTGAGGTAAAGTAGCGCTGTTGCAGAGTAATCAATGAAACTGTGTCCATTTATAGTGTCTGAGAATCTGGCCTTCTGCCGGCTGCAAAGTCTTTTAAAAGAAACAAAGAAATCTAAGTTTGCTGCTATTTAAAAGGAAAAAAAGAAAGACTAACCACTTATGGATTTTTTTCCAAATAGCCATCCAGGACAGTACGGACTATACATGCTTAGCCTGAAAAGAAAAGAAGAGCCTACTTTCAAAAATACATTTCTCTAAACACATGGCTGCTATCGCTGCAGCTACAGCAACACAATTACCGCTCTCCCATCCACGTACATAGAGCATCAGAGATTCATAGAAACGCTAAAGACAAAGACCCACAGAGGTCTCGGGCCCAACTTTCCACTCAGAGCAGTACTATCGCAAGCCGTAGATGAGGTCAGCCACACTTCCTCCTAGTCAATACTTGAAAGTCATCCGTCAGCCCCCCATGCACCATTCCAGCGCTAAGCTACCCTCCTGGTAAAGATATTTTTCTTCATATCCAATGCTAAACTGCAACTCGTGGCCGCGATCTTAATTAATAACAGTAACTTAAAAATCTGTACAGAATGTGGCCACATGCCAGGTTTTAAGGCTAATGAGATTTTTACTACAGAAAAGACAGGGTTTGAGAGGAGGCTACACAAAGAAACAGGCATTATATTAAAATGCCAAAACTACATTAACAATTCCAAATGCATACAGCAGATTCAGCCCTTCTCTGCCCTGCACGCATTACTTTATGGGACCAGCCTTTGTCCTGGATGTTGTTCTCTGGTTATACATTTCCTTGACTGGCTGAACACAGAGCGCGGTGAATCCTCAAAGTACATCCCACTCTTTGCTCTTCCCTTTCCTCCACCAATTTAGTTCAGCGATGTCATTACATCACGTTATACAATGCCAACAAGAACACCAATGTACTGTTGTCTCACTGGACCAGGACTCTAGAAAGCAAATGACTCATCGTTCCTTTACTTTTCCAGGTACAACTTTCAGTAACATATAGCAGCCGTTGATTCTCCCACACTCACCACATGAACGTGGCCCTCGGCGCTCATCTGGCGGGTGTGGCAGGTGCTCCGCAGAGCGCCGCTCAGTTTGCTCTGCGGCCTGTCATGCACCTTCCTAAAACACATACCATTATCAATTAGCAGACAAATATCTAATTAACTTTTCAGTCATCTGTTCAGCCACAGCTCAGTGACCAAACATGACAGGAGACGGATTGGAGAACACCATGGCTCAGGCTAGCCAGCATTCCTCCCTCATCTATGTACCTCGAAGGCTCGTTTGGATTTGGGTTTTCACCCCCAACATTTAAACGTGTCAGATGGCTACCGTATTTCCAGACTTCCATGGGTATATCCTCTTTTTACAAGAAGGACTGTTGTCTAGATGAAGAAATGCAAACGACTGCCCAAGATTTCCTCAAGTCCTAACAAATGATCACCCCTTGCACGCGGACTTGATGGATAACTGGCAATCCTGACGTACTCTAAAGTCACCGGACTGACTGCACATACCTCGCAACTCCACCAGCTGTGGCACACGTTGCACTGTCTGCGCCTGTGAGTCCATCCATACGCTCGCTGCACGTGCAAGGTCCAGCACGTCAAGGGCACGCTGTGTGTGTGCATGGCATTTGCGTGCAGCTTTCCAGAGAGGACCCGAAAAGGAAACACAGGACCCTTAGTCTTCTGTAACGTGCTTGACCAACGCAGAGCTATAAAACTGACGACAGTTTGCTATTTGAAATCTATCATTATTCCAAAGCCTTCCATTGCACTGCACTAAACTAATTTAGGAATTTCTGAGCATACGTAGCGTGGCTGATACCAACTGCTTTTCACGCAACAGATGTAATCGTTGCTATATCGATCTGGCAATATATCACCTTTTCCCCAAGAGTGACAGCTCTGCCCTTTAAGCAACAGTACTTCGTACTTAATAATAAAAGAGGTCTGCCTCCCAGAGAGTATCAGCAGTTTTACGCAATATATAGTTTCTCAGTTATCTGTATGGAACCATCACTGTTAAATATTGACCTTCTCATCTATAGCATGCAGTTGCAGCTAATTAAAGATATGATGATCACTAGCTATGAAAGAATAAATGCAACGCTTAGGAGAATATTGCCTCCAATGTTATGAGATCCAGCTTCTGATCGACTAGGACATCATTCAGATCGTTATGAAGCATTAGTAATCTACTGCTTATATATCAATTGTGGAACAAACTGAAGTTCATCCAACCTAGCTCAGAAATACAGAATCACATTTTTGAAGTTGCTGATCATTTGATGAAGCACTGGCAGACAAGATAGGAGCACCTGCACTACCCTTCAGGGGTTTTTGAGCACCAGTTGCTGCCCCACTTCTCTGCTGCACTTTGAGGAAGAGGGCCCAGGGTCCTGTCCCGCCTCAGAGCCGCACTGGATACAGCCTCTCTTCCTGAGCCGAATGCAGCAGGGTAAGGGGAGAAGATAGCAGCCACCAGTTTTCCAGTTAGACACGCAAACAATTCCTTAGATTGACACCCCCGATTTAAGAGTCAATTCAAGATATTAGGAGTTGCTGAATCCAGTAGCCTGACTGAGGCACGGCTGCTGCAGCTCCCTGTTCCCAAGTCCAGCCAGTAACGAGGCAGACCACGCGTTCCCGATAACGACACGTGCACACACACACACACACACGTATTTTTAAAATATTCACACACACACACAGCGCTGGCCGCACAGATCAACGCAGACAGAAAACAGCACTCACACAAACGGCACCAGTGGCCTCCTCACGTTCCCCTCTCCAGCTGATCAGGACGAAGGTCTATTAGTGGGAAGTATATACATATGTAGTGCGGATCCCTGACAGCCGGCCTTAAGACGCTCGTTCAGTCGCTGGTACAGACTGCCCTCACTTACACAGGCACGCTACGGATCCCCCGGTAACTGGCCTTAGACACTCAGGCTACCCAGTAGCTGGCCCTTGGATCCTCTCTTCTCCAGTTGCCTTGAGCACAGAGGCACACACTTGCAAATAGGTCTCTCGGTTGACCACCAGACCTTACGGTCTCTCCAGTGGCTGACTCGGACCTCCCGGTCCCTCCTGTAGCAAAACGGCAGGCCCTCTGGTCTCTCCAGACTTACGGCTGCGTCGATACCTAGCTCCCAAGCTCCTTACCCTATACACTGGCTAGGCCAGCTTGACGTTCGCTAGCAATCGCACGCTGGCATAAGCGCTTGCACGATTTGCGCTCTCTCCAGTCTCTCTAGTCGCTGGCAGCAGAGATATAGAGGCCCTCTGGCCCGTGGTCCTCACTCACTCCAGTTGCTGGCACCACACGCTCACCTGGGCCCCTATGACTCGTGGTCCGATGCCAGTCGCTGGCGGTCAGATCTCCACATACACGCACGCATACAGAGTCCCGTCACCCAGAGAAATAGTTAGAAATAGAGTTTAATGAGAAGACAGGACAGACTGTGGTGATCAGGTGCAAGGCAGGGCCAGGCAAGCGTACCGAACGATAACCTGCTTACATGCAACTGGCCCCTTTTATCCCCTTATCCCTCTATTTTCCTGTGCTTTTTCATCCCCAAATCACCCGCCTCCCTTTCTCTGCCTTTGGTTCCTCCCTCTAAACTTCCCATAGTAAGCCTTGTACGATCCCAAGATGCTCTTCTCCTGCATCCCATGAGCCCCAAACCCCTACAGGAAGTAACCCCCTCAGTCTGTAAAGTGATCAGGAGAGCCTCTCACAGGGAGTGATCTTGGTGGGTTCCGCCCCCGTGCAACAGGGCTGGCCGCTCTCCTGCGAGAGCCCTCGGAGAAGCCAGATCAGGGTGCTCAGGTCTTCCGATTAGGGTATTGGCAGTCTCCGCCTGTCACTGTTCCTCTGTGCTCCTTCACGTGTGGAGATGAACCTTTTATCACATGACCTAACGCCAGGAGTCATTTTCGTACACATATACACATGTGCAAACTGTATCACTATGCAAAAGAAATGCATCTTCATCTGTACGCACGCACACGCGCATCATGTCAAAGCGGCAAAGACGACGATAGCATGGCTTCTCTCTCAAATTTCCCATTGCTTCCTAAGGCTTGTATAATATTCAACACAACTACTATTTTAGTATCGAAAGGCCAGTTGTGCTAACATCGCTTTCCCCAAGGCTAGCATCAAAAATCTGGGCAGGACTCAAGAGATGGCCAGTTAAATTAAAATTATAGCATTGTGAAATCCAAGTTGCACAGGAACTGCAATCAACATTCAGACTGTAAGCTCTTTAAAAAAATACAGATCCATTTACATCTCAGAAAAGGAAGAGGAAGAACTGCACAAAGTGGCTATTACGGTTCTTGACTTGCTCTATAGATGGCTGTACAACTTAGCGCCCGACCTTTCTTCTGAAAGCAAACAAGGCTTTTACTTTCAACACTGATGCTTTCCACAAATTACTATCTGCACCTTAATTTACCGTTCCGGATTGTTGCTATCCATCTCGTCAAGACACTTCACTATGACACAATTTTCTTCCTCTGTAACTAATACCTGCCTTCGGTTTTGATAACTAATTTTCACCACTGTCCCAAGGAGATAGGTCAGTACGATAGTCTCTATTTCAGAAAGGGAGACAGAAATCAAGCGACTCACTTGAAGCAACACAGTAAGCAGCAGAGCGAGAGGCAGAACTCTTGCTTTCCTTTCCATATTCACCACTGGGAAAAATGCTGCGAGGCTACGTGTTTCAAATGTCCCAAACTGGGAACAACAAGGGAAACTATGGTGCAATTACGTAATAATAACCACAGGCAGGGTGCACACATTCTTCTCACATACGTGACTGGGGAAATTGGTTGCAGTCTAACAGGAAAGTTTGGGAGAATATCATCTTCCTCCCTTTCCCTTTCACAGGATCCCAACCCAGAGACAGATGAAAGCGCACTCATCCACAAATTTTTACCCAGAGGAAGAAGGAAACAGAAAGGTGAGGAAAAATAAAAGAGTCAGGAGCAGGCGGAAGGAAGCAGAACTATTTAAACTCTCAAGATAAAGCAAAGTTGCTATAGCAACTGCTCTTCCCATGGTTGAAAGCATACACTGTGTTTTAATGCCGCTCACCTTGACAAAAGGGACACATTCCTGATGCCTCCTGCACTACTATTTTTCCCAAGCAGGGAGCTATTATCATCTGCCAGAAATAAATTATACAGCATAAATGCTATCACCTGTGCTCTAGGTAGAAGGAAGCTTTCCGTCTTCTGTAAAACTCCTTTGTTGAGATCGGAGCTCTGCCACTGCTGGGTATGCTGCTACACACCTCTCTACATCTTCGTGCATCAACAAACACTCCGTGAAATAGAGGTTTACGTTACTTACTGGAAACACTGCCTGCAAGAGGGTTTACAAAGGGTCAGCACAGAGTCTGGGGATTCCTAGCTCTCCAGTTCCACACTGTCCATTCATGCACTCAAAACGCTCATGCATTTATAGCGTAACTTAAAGTAGCAGCTGCTCAGAAAACTGCAAACGCAGAATTACAGCCCAATTAGCGTTCCTGTCATTTCAGTACAAAACTTCCCTTAAGACTCTATATTTGATGATTACTCACTGTGGGAACCGAACAAGAACACGTGAATTTTTCATCTTTGAGAGGCCTATTATACTGTAGTCTATTACCCCGTATTATTTGAAATCACTGCTCTGTGATTTAAAGCGTAAAGCGTTTCATGGTTTCGTTACTAAACTGAGCCTCTTGGTTAACAGGAATCAGGGTTGAGAAACGGACACGTCTACCTGGTATTTTCCCCCCATTTCCTCCATATAGCTCTTCTCTAGGTACGAGGCCGTTCAGAAGCAGTATTCAATTTAGCGCTTTACAGACAGATCTATTAACGAGCTACCGCATGAGTCACTCACGTATTTTTAGAGACTTTAGAAAGTTTAAAACTCATCGAGAACAAGTCGTTGCAATTGTAGGACGGCTGTCAAGCCATCTGACCAGCTGTTATGGCAGAGGATGAATAATCCCATTAAACAACTCTCTTATCCCACTGGCAACACCTCCGATGCAGCCGTTGGGTACCGCTGCTGAACGATCACGCTAGCTCTAGCTGCTTCTCAACTGTCTTTGCTTCAATTCACTTTCTAACACAAGAGCTGCATAAAATCCCTTTAGAGATCCCAGTCACAGCTACCGAGACATCTGTTTCATATGTCCCATAATTTCACAACTTTGCAGTTCTTTTAAACAGAAGCATCACAAATGTCCTCACAGCTGACAATTAAACAAGGCTCCATCTTCCAGTCAGCTCCTCATCATCCCCATCAGATGCCAACAAAGCATCCTGCTATCCTCCCCTAAAAGGTCCGCGCTGATCTTCGCTGCGTATCCCTGCTTCCTTATAAACAAAAAGCCGTATCACTGGAAAGTCAATCACCGTTGCAGAAAGGAGCAGCTATAAACTATCCGCACGATGCCCAACCAAATTGAATATCAAGTAGTTAATCCCAAGCAAATTAACTCCAGTGGACAAACCTGTGCCTTTAAAGGCAAAGTCCACACAAAATTATATCACCTAAAACTTTCTGTCAAACATCCAATTCATACTGGCAGTTTTATCACCGTGACCGCACGCAAGTGGAGTAAAGGAAGTATGCCATGACCAGCATGAGCTAGAAGTCCAGCGTTAACATGCACAAGACATGAACAAGGCCACATCCGTACAAACGGAACGCAACTAAACCTAAAAACTTTGCACATCTTGAATTTTCTCTCTTCCCCCATATTTTTAGGCAAAATAATCACATTTGACTAGCATAAAAAGTAACCGAAATCGCCATCTCCATTTCCATAAATATAGCAACTGAAGTAATACTCATCAGCTTCACTCGGTCCACTGAGCTGGACTGCAAAGCTTAATTATGTCTGTAAAACGTTTAGAGATCCTCAAGAGGCAACACAAGGCAGACGTACCGTTAGTTTTAATAGTATAACTCCTCAGTAACAGGAGCTTAACGAGCGAAGTGTAAGGTGGCCATTGTCCCCTCATCCCCTCATTCACACGGTTACTGCTTGCAAGATAGGTGTCATTATACCACACGTTTTTAAACTACGTTATCATTTTTTGTTACTTCTGCTTCCTAGTTCACAGAAGTACCAGAACGGTTGCGTGAGCTGGGTTACCTGTACACTAATATGTCATCAGCAGAACTGTTATACTGAATCTGGTACATTCGAATCCCCGGGAGGTGATGCTGAGAAGGCCACTGTATAAGAGCAGAGGATGACGTCAGCTCAGCGACCGTGACCGCCTTCTCTTGCTGAGCCTTTGTTTCATTTGGAAAACTTGACTTGGCAGATATAAGAATATCTGAAGGGCCAGGCTCAGCATCTTTATCACAGTTGGTGCTGTTAGCAAGGTTAGGGTATGGGGTAACGAGGAGTTCAACTGGAGCTGTTGACTCTCCTGCAGCATTCGATGCTATGCAGGTAAACATGCCCTTCTCAGTCAGAGAAGTAGCCAAAATATCCAGAGTACCGTTCTCATAAGAAATAGTCCTAGACGTGTTAGAGACCAGCTTCCCATCCGGTGAAATCCAGCGAACGTACGGATCTGGATCGCCAACAGCTTTACATTTCAAAGAGACGCTTTGGCCTTCTGTTACTGTCAGTTTTGGGGTTCGGTGTGTTATCATCGGAGGTTCGCAGACAAATTCCTCCTCTTTAATAGACCAAAAGTATTTGCCCATCAGTTCCGGCGGGGAGGCACACGTTTCCAGATCGTCTTCCCTGGTGAGACGCCTCAGCCACACTAGTTCGCAGTTGCAATGTAAAGGATTCCCTCCAAAACTAAGCACCAGAGATGACAGTGGAGATCCTTTAGATTTAGCGTATACTGGTATTCTGGAAAATAAAGGATCAGGAGGGATCTTTTTCAGCTTGTTGGACGTCATGTCTAGCCGGGCAAGTTTGTGAAGATTTGAGAAGATTCCCTCTGGCACAAACTCGATGAGATTATGATCCAAACTAACCGTATTGACATTAGAAAGCTTGGCAATTGTTTCCCAAGGAACATTAACGAGGTTGTTGTAGGATAGATCCAGGTCTTCAATTGTTTCAATAAAGTCATCCAGTGACCCGGGAGAGATGTAGTTTAATTGATTGTTACTGAGTATTAAGTGCCGAAGATTAATTAAACCTTTGAAGTGATCTTCATTGATGTAAGTCAGTCTATTACTATCCAAGTGTAAGGCGTGAAGGCCTTTAAGATCAAAAAATGCATAAGGCATAATTTGACTTATTGTATTTCTCGATAGCGTCAAATGAATTAGATTAGTCATGTTTGCAAAATCCTTTCTCCTAAGTGTAGTGATAAAGTTATCCATTAACCTAAGTTCTGCTGTTCTCCTGTCAATACTGGGGGGCACAAAGAGAAGTCCAGTCTTCGTACAGAGAATTGTGAAGGATGGAGACAGGTTTTGACACATACATCTTTTGGGACACATCATGGCCTTCACAGCTGTGCTAATGACCAATAGATAGACAACCAGCCTTTCCATCGTAAGAAAAATAGCAAACCTAGAGGGAAAAAAAGAAGAAATCAATTAAAATATATTTATCTGGGACATTAGAAATAGGTTTACACTGAAGCTTTCATTACAAGTACACCTGTGTAAACTGGAAACACCTTCTGAGACATGAATTTAATTAACTGCTAGTATTAAATCAGATGTTTTCAGAGCTAAGCACTTCCAATTCTTCCCTACTTTGGCTCTGCTTACTTGTTGATAGAAACTCTTTAAGATTGACTGTGAGGCAACAGTCCACCACTACAAGGTAACGTCTACTCTGGGATATGCTAACCAGGTTATCTACCTTCTAGCAGCTCCTCACAGACAACCAGTCACACTGACAGCTGTACTTTAATAGGCAGAAGAAAAGCAGGATGCATATGAAGTGAGAGAAACACAAGTTAAAACCAAAGGAAAAAACGAATTAAATACGTAAGATTTCTTAGGCAAATGTACCACATACATAGCTTTCTCTTTGCAGATACGTCCTGACTCAGGCCTGAATCTCATTTCAGCCTTCATATCTCCCGTTCCAATTCTCTCAGTGATTATACTCCCTTCACTTTTTACCATTACAAATTTCTAACAGCTTGTTTGGTTTACCCCTCATGCTCATCTGTGTCCCCCCCTCAGTCTTGCTCAACCTGAGTAGTGAGCTCTTTGGAGAAATGCATATTTTAAAAATAGGGTCCCCCCCCACCCCCAGAAGGGGGCAGAGAACTAAGATTTCTACAGTAAATAATGAAGAGGAGAAATACCTTCAAAGGCATTTCTGAAAAGTAAGGTTATATTCCATGAGAGAAGCAGGTATATATTTTTTCCTGTGCAACATAGGTAGTAGCTTTGGAAAATAAATTTTTATAATTACATGTTTTTGGTCAATGAAATTCTCTCTATGAAATCTTATATATGCCAAGTTATTTCCCATTGTATCTAAAGCACTTGCCTGCTATACCAAGGGTAGATTTTCATTTCTACTTTACCCCCAGCTGGCTAAAAAATTACTAAGCATTAACTGCAGTGATTCAAGCCACCGTAAGGTTAAAGCTCCCGATCTGCAATGTAAAGGACTCAAACTATGTGTTTCGTGAGAGCATCCAGGTACAACCCTACTCCAAACTCTAGCCAGCTGGCAAGTCCTACTGTCTAAGAGAGGAAAAGAAGCTGTCTTTCTGAAAAGGAGCACATTTAGTTTTACTTCACGTATAAGCCCTGGCATACCAGAAATCATAGCTGACTGTAGTTAACTGCACACACAAATCCCTTGCCGTAGCAGGTAAATGCAGAATACCATAAAAATAACAAACCGTTGCCTTTGAGAACGAGCGACGCAACACGATACAGAGTCCTCAGTTCAGCACCAAGTCAGGGACAACAGCATCCCCTGCTGAGTCAGCTCCCTGTAAAGGAGGCTACCAAAGGCTTTGATTACAAGGGCGCAAGTTGTGGCGAGTCAGCAGATTCCCACGGAATGATTTTATTTTATTTTTTTCCCCAAGACACTTTAGTGATTTCCCTGAGCCAGAGCTCTTTCACAGGGAAATGGATCTTTAAGCACAGAAATACAATATCATAGTACTGTTGCATAGGCTGGAAAACAGAGTTTGGTTAGATCAAACTTAAAGCTCCCCAGAGAAAATAAAATTTTTGTAGAGTTAACCCATGATTTATACAGTGTTTTACTTCAATTAGGAGAGTGAAAGGCAAAGTTTAAACCACACATTTGTATTTTAACTAGTGTTACACATTCAGCTGTTAAGAGGTTAATCTTTAGCTGCATGCAATTCTAACCAGGTCTCTGCAAAATATTTTGTAAAACAAACAAACAAAAAAGACAAACCAACCAACCAAACCACCCTCGTGGATCCTCTGAACAGCTGAAGGGCGTGCACTAGGAGGAGAGGCTGGGGGGAACAGGGCTGGTTTAGCCTGGAGAAGAGAAGGCTTCAGGGAGACCCCGTGGCAGGGACCTTCTTGCATTCCAAGGAGATGACGGGGGAGCCAGGCTCTGCACAGCGGGAGGTAGAGACACAAGGGGCAGAAACTGATACAATTAAGGTTTGAGCTGGATACAAGAAAAACCTTTTTCATCAGGATGACTGCGTGGAGCAGGTTGCCTAGAAAGACTGTGGGGCCTCCATCCTTGGATGACCCGACTGGACAAAGCCCTGAACACACTGGCCTGATCTCAGAGCTGACCCTGCTTTGAGCAGCAGGCTGGACTAGAGGCCCCTGAAGCTTCTTCCCACCTGTATTATCCTATGATCTAATGCTGTTAATATCCCCGCATTTTTCACACTGCAGCTGTAACTCTAGAAACTGTAACTTCTGTATATCTGATTTTTAGTGCTGGTTTCAAATTCCGACTCAGAAGGCTGTTTTTTTTTGTTTTTTTTTTTTTTTAAATCTGACAGTGTGTCAGTTCAACTTGGAAAACAGTAAGTGAAGTTCTTCATGAAGTAGGACTAAATTATTGGAAAACGTATCTTACAATACAGGTTGCACAAAACTAATGTCTACTTTATACTTACGCTGTCCTTTTTCTAATAACTTTCCCTTTAGTAATACCTTTCTTCCTAATCATTTTTCTCATTCACTTTTATAATATTTAACATAGTGCACTACTAGCTTTATCTTTCAAATATTTGCTTTTTCAAGAAACTCACTTCTATTGTAACTCCATCCTGTGCTCTGAGCCCTTCTTGTCCCTAAGGGCTCCATCTTTTGACTCCCACTAGGTACAAATGTTTAACGGACATGCAGTTATCCAAAAACAGGCTGCTGTGCAACATCGTAATTCTCTTGTTTTGTAATTAGCAAATATTAATGCATTTTAATGGATTAACTAACTTTGGGGCTGTAGGAAAGCAGCACATAACCACCTCACTTAAACCATTACGCTGCTTAAAAAAAAAAAAGTTGCTAACGTGAAACCACGGTACTAAATTTAATGATTTTTAGAGCCAACAATAAGCGTAGTGCAATTACTCTTACAAAATATATGACATTTACAAGGAAATTTTGACTGCTAAAGAAAAGCTGCATCCAACTGAATTATTGCTGTTGTCCGGGATCACTGTTAAGAAGAGGTCTGGGAACATCACCTAAGTACTGCATCAGGAAGACACCCGATTGCATGATAATACATATGTCCCGCTCCTCAAAACACAGAAAGCCTTTGCTTTCTCCCCCTGCACCCTCACACTGTACATCGCATCCACAAGCAAATTCATGCCAAACAGCACACCCGACCTACCACGCTATGAGCTGGCTTTTGTCTGAGCACGACCGCTTGCAATTAGCTCAGCCTTTGTCCGCGCCGCCGCGCTGCTACCTTTGGAGGACACCGATTCAAGAAACTGACTCGGTAGGTGATGCAGCCGGGGAAGGGCCTCCAACATGAACTCCTATAGTAGCTTTAAAGACCGTTTAATCCACAGCTTCTCAACAGACAGCTGCAGCAGGAGTGATTTTCATGCTAATATGACTATCCACTGAGCTAGGACATCAGCAAAAATACTTCTCTGAACCGTCGCTTATTAGCCGATTTCATCGGCTACCATCTGCACTGTCACAGCTTAAACTTCCCGCTAAAAATTGATTGAGGTGGTCATGGAATTCCAAAATTTTTTTTGGAATTTGCTAGCAGATGAGTATGATTTACAGCACGTCCACATCTCGGATCTTTTAGGGGTCCCATTCGATATACATGATGGGAGATAAGTAGCTGACAGACAAGCACGCTCCTACAGCGATACATTATTAAGTTATCATTTGAAGTCTAAGCGATATTTAGAGAAAGTGATGCTTAACTCCAATAATTTTCAGCTATTGGCCTGTTACTTTGCTCCATCTGAGAAGAGTTTGGATTGCCTTTGCTGTAAGTTTACATTATATAACGAGACATATTTAACAGCTCTGAATTGCTACTATGGCATAAAGAGAGTTCTTATGCTCTTTGAAAAGCACGCAGGCCTCAGTATGAATAATAAAGCATAAATATACTATTTTACCAACTGCAACAAGAAGAAATTCCACCAGAAAAACAAAAACCCCTCACTCTGGTCCTTAGCCGAGTGCCTTTGCTAGAGAATGGCACCTTTCTCCGATCCAATACAACTTGATTTCAGCATAATCTGCTTCCTTCTCTTGCACCTCACTATTAATCTTACTGGAACTGTTAGCAAAATATATTCAAGCACTTTCTTTCCATTCCATACTTGCTTAGGTTTCTTAAGAGACTGGTCTTAGTTTTTGCACAGTGGGTTAGTTTTACTTATTCCGTAATAGTCTCGTTTCTCTGTTTTAGAGCTGAAGCCATGCTATTCAACGGTCAACCGAAACCAGGCAACACATACAAAACTCAGACCTACATTCACAGCTCAGAAAGAACATCAGTGTGGAGAGTTGCTCATTTGCTCACTTGCTTTTCTAAAATCCTTAGAGCTGACCTTAAAGTCAGATGAGGTATGCCTACCCTTGACATAAGACCCCCTTGGAAAGTCCAGAAACATGCTTCATTTTAAAACACAAAATCTGAGCCTGACACACAAATGCTGCATCTATTCAGCATTTTTCTACACCTAAAAAATCTCATTCAGCTCAGGTTTAAGAGACGTAACTACATTTGTTTGCATGAGTCATCCTCCACTGAGGTGGATTATCGACTCCTGCGTAGAAGGACACGATCTCCAACCACTCTAGATCCAAAATGTCATGGCTAACATACAGTGCAGCTTACTGTTAAGCACAATCAACATTTCAAGAATAGAAACTCTAAATCACCTAGTGAGTTTGTTCCAGTAAAATCCTAAGCAGTTATATTTCTAATAATACTGTCCAGTTGTCCCCTGCCAAAAAAATACATAGACGTGCAGAAATATGAAGCATTAATATCAGAATATTGAGTATTCGAGAAATGTCCACAGCCTGCATGTGACACGGTGCTTGTGATCTCATGACCAGGATTTAAAAACGCACACTGCTCACCACATGGAAACATCTGCC